AATGCGCGACCATACGCTCTCGAATTCTTTGAGTGTGGTGGGCATCTTGAACGCAGTGAATTGGGTATCTCTGGACAGCAGTGTTCAAGATAGAGGGGCAGTAGCAGATGTAGGGGTGCGGGCGGTGAAGGGGCTAATTTCCGCGGCGCAGCGGCGCAACCTTTAACCGCTCGCCGGGCCATTGTTTGTGCCCCACCCTACCACGACAGGAAGCTCCCCATCAACACGCGCATCGGCGGCAGCAACATCACGCGATAGAGCCCTGAACCATGATCTGAAGCGCGCAAATAGTAATCTCTTCCTGATAGCGACGCGATGGGAACTCTATCGCCGGCCGACGAGGCCCAACTCAAGGCCCAGCTCCAGGACGCCGTCATCGGCTGCACGGAGCGCTGTCTCTATCACTCGGCGAAATGGTGAGTACCAATGGTTACGTAGACTGACTTTTGCATGCTGATATTGACAAGGGCCGCAGAATTACTCGATTCGCTCCCATCGGCCGATGATGAAGGCTCGGACACCGACGTCGACTCCCCCATGTCGGATGCGCAACCGCCGCAGACACCCAATCTCGTACGCAAAGACCCCATCGAAGCACGCCTAGAAGCACGTGAGACGCACAAGTTCCTCCTCGCCAAGACATACTTCGACTGCCGCGAGTATGATCGATGCGCCGCCGTCTTCCTGCCTGGCCCTCTACCCAAGGGCGCCTCACAGGCACCTGCTACGCCTACAGCAAAGGCGAAGCAAGGCGCCAAGGGGAAGGCGAAGATGGTCACGCCATCCAAGTCCAAGCTGTCCAACGATACAATGAAGGGCATCAGTCAGAAGGCGCTGTTCCTTGCCCTCTATGCCAAATACATAGCTGGGGAGAAGCGCATGAACGAGGATAGCGAGATGATTCTCGGCCCTCAAGACGGAGGTGTCACATTGAACAAGGAGCTGCCCACAGTATCTGCCGTTCTTGAAGAGTGGTTCAGAGACCTGCCCAACAGCGGGCGACAACCGCAAGGCTGGCTGGAGTACCTATACGGCATGGTCCTGGCCAAGGGAAAGAACGAGCAGCTTGCTATCGACTACCTGATCAAAAGTGTGCACCAATACACCTACAACTGGGGTGCGTGGCAGGAGCTACAAGCTCTACTGACCACCATGGAAGAGCTCAATGGCATCGTCACACGCCTACCGCAAAACCTCATGACTTTCATCTTCCATGTTACGTCATCTCAGGAGCTCTACGTGGTCAACGAACAGATTCATACTTCGCTGTCGCAAATACTGACCATTTTCCCGTCATCGGCCTTCCTAAAGACCCAACGGGCATTGCTCCACTACCACAACAAAGACTTCGACGATGCCGAACAGATCTTCTCGGACTTGCTCGTATCAGATCCACATCGGGTCGATCATCTCGACAATTACTCCAACATCCTGTATGTCATGGGCATGCGACCCAAGCTTGCCTTCTTGGCACAGCTCGCCACAGCGACCGACAAATTCCGACCGGAGACATGTTGCGTGGTGGGCAACTACTACTCGCTCAAGTCGGAGCATGAGAAAGCCGTCATGTATTTCCGAAGAGCTCTGACTCTAGACCGGACCTTCCTTTCCGCTTGGACGCTTATGGGCCACGAGTTTGTGGAGATGAAGAACACCCACGCCGCTATTGAATCCTACCGGTGCGCCGTCGACGTGAACCGGAAAGACTACCGCGCCTGGTATGGACTTGGTCAGACATACGAGATGCTAGAGATGCACTCGTACGCTCTGTTCTATCACCAACGCGCCGCTGCCCTACGACCCTACGATCCGAAGCTATGGATGGCGGTCGGCCAATGTTTCGGCAAAGTGGGCAAGATCATGAATGGCATTCGATCATACAAGCGCGCGTTAGTCGCAGGCTCCTATTATGATGCTGGTGTCGGAGCCTCTTTCGGGAGCAGTGAAGTTACTGGTCTCGGCGGAGGTATCCTCGATCCAGAAGTACTCTACCAGATCGCCCTGCTGTATGAGAGGATAAACAACATGAACGAATGCGCGGCATACATGGAGCTAGTACTTGCACAAGAAGAAGGGCCAGACTACGAAGAAGTGGGCTCTGAAGCTGCCGGTGGTGTTGGCGTCACTGCGACGACCAGCAAAGCCCGACTCTGGCTCGCTCGATGGGAGTACATGCGCGGCATGTACCAACGAGCCATGGAGCTAGCGAACGAGCTCTGTCAAGACGGTGTAGAGGTAGAAGACGCGAAGGCATTAGTGAGAGACATCAGAGCGCGCATGGAGCGCGGCGGAGGAGACGCGGAAGATTGATTAGGCACAGCGTCTCGAAAGTTTGGGCATTTGCAGGCGTACAGGTATGATACCCAAGCAATACTGGATCGCAACATGTATCATATACATTACTACTTGATAGCGCATTGCAGGATCTCGATCCGTTTCCAGTTCATCATTACATCAGGGCTTGGTCCCGTGACAAGTGAACGCTTACTTGCCGTACAGATGCGCAGTTCTACCCTCACCCCACCGCGGGTTCCCGCCACTTTCCTTCTCCCAGCGCTTATCTTCATCTTCCATTTCCCGCATCCGTGCTCCTCCATCTTTTTTCTTGATCCAGGGTTCAGTGTTGCTGTCTTTGCCCTCTGCGCTCGCGATCTTGCGACTGGCTTCTGCCAAAGCTAGGTCTTCGATCTCTCGCATCCGCAGTTCGGCTGTGATGTAGTTCAACGTTCGCTGCATGTCGCGTGCATCGTGGCCGCGGCAGTCTAGGATGTAGAGTTGGTGTGTTATGGAGGCTTGGGCGGAGATGAGAGATGGGGTGGACGAGAGCCGGATGGTGGTGGGTGCCCAGGGGTGGGGATGAGTGAAGGCGTTGAGGGTTAGGGAGGTTGACATTGTGCTTGGTAGGTAGTGTTATGCTGTTATGTTATCGAGATAGTCCTAGGCTGTGGAATTTGACGTATAGAGGTAGATCTAGGACGGGGATGTGGGTGAGGGAGAGTGGGGATTGGGTTGGGTACGTTAGTTGCGAAATTGTGAAGGCTCGCTGACGTGACAGGAACACCTCAACTTCTGTGTTGTTCCACGCACAACGTTACTGTTGACTACTGTGAAGAGGCATCGAACGTTGGAATATCGCGTTCGCAAACACGGTTCCGAGGCGTGGTATATGCACCATTGGCAAAGACAACGCATGGCGTTTCCTAGATCGTATCCGTCGTCAGTGAACTAGGTCTCCTGTCACAGAAGGCTATTTCGCAACAGCTGCGTGTTCACGGCTGTCCAAGACCGTGATACAATCTGTACGCTATCAAGTACATAAAGTTTGTCTCCCAACCCTTCTTTTGACCATACTCACCACCAGCATCAGCAAAACCTCGCCAACGACAGATCGACCCGATAAAGAAATCCACCACAATACTACATAATATCGAGACCATCTACGCGCACCTTTGCTTATCATGCCTTGGGGAATGGCATTCTCATATAGGCATGCCCCTAACTTTTGCGGAATGGATGACTATCCTGAGCATCCTTGGCCCCTGGATTGGATCGAGAGGCAGAGTCTGGACTACCTTCTTCAGACACACAACAACATGTACAGAGAACTGCAGAAGTTCCCGGAAAGAAGCAACGTTCGAGGCACGGCTAGTAGGATCGAAGAGTATCTTAGGACGCACGGCGCGGTGATGCTCGGAGAAGTGGGAGGGGGTGGTAACATCAACGTTCAATTGTCAGCACCAGCACCACCAACACCACCACCAGTCCAGGCGCAGTCGCCTCAGCAAAACATCGTTGTTCATCATCAAGTACAACAACCACCAGTACAGCAACCAGCACAGCAGAATGTCATCTACCATCAACAAGTACAACAGCCACCAGTACAACAACCAGCGCAGCAGAATGTCATCTACCACCAGCAAGTACAGCCGCAGCTGCAGCAGAACGTGGTTTACCAGCAAGTGCAACAGCCTCAGGTGCTCAGCATTCCTGCTCCTGTGGCCACACTGACTATGACATCTACGCCGGTGCAGGGTTTTGTGATTGGAGGGATTGTAACACCACGCATTGGGTATGTGAGGAGCCCTAGGAGCTTTGGAAGGCGGGGGTTCTTCGATTATGACAGTGATAGTGATAGTTTTTAAGGCTAGTTGGTACGGTGGATGATCTTTAGTGAAGGGTGGGGGATGGTGACGACGATGACGATAGTTTATTGAAGATGTTTTGTAACCGATGATCTTGAACAATGCATATTTTACATTCTACGCTTATCCTGTTGGCGCCAGTGCCGCTAATGGTCAATGTTAATTGTGGAATGAGGATGTTGCCGCTCATGTACTCGTTCACAAGTATATCAGCGTTCAGTAGATGGAATGCACGTCGAGGTTGTCGCCAAACTGGATACACTCAGTAAGGTGAGCACAAGTATGTTGTTGATAATTCGATGTCTTCATTCATCATACAGATCATGACACGCCGGCACAGGGAATGTTTTCTTCACTATGATCGCACTCTCTACGTCAACTCTTGATCGTGATCCTGCATAGCGACACGTTCTGAGGATCACGTTCAAACAACATGCTGGCAATCGAGAGTTGTGCAAAAGCGCTGAATTCAATGTCTGTTTAGAATATAAACCTTCTTCTGAGAACACAGACTCTTTCTATCAAACACTACACTTTCTAGTTAGTTACAAAGCGCATCTCTGTCAACTCCAAGCAAAGCCAACTTGTCCTCTTCGCAACGCACGGTAAAACCACTCACAACACCGCTTATACACGCTCGATATGTTCCGATCATCGCGCAGACCTGACCCCTTTTTGCACCTCCATCCTTGGGCGTACCATCACTTGTACCCTCTCTCGGATGATGAGCTCGTCGGTCTTTTCAATGCAATCGCCGACTCAATGTCTGGCAATATCTTTGCAGACCTCTTAAGGCCTGTCTGGGGGGAGACTAATGACAGGATTTTGCGCATCCTTGAACAAAGGGGTAGCAATACCATGGGTATTTTCCCGGGCTCAAGCTTTGGAAGCGTTGGCACATTTCCACGCATGTCGTCATCTCTCTCAATCACACAGACCGCGCCAATGCCAAATGTTACCATCCAAGCGATTCCAGCTCCACAGCAAAACATCAACTTCCAGCCCGGTTTTGTTCCGCAGCAAAACATCACCTTTGTACCCCCTCCAGCTCCCGCTCCTCAACCGCCCCCAGCAGCGTTGCCAGACATTCATTATGTTACAGTATATGGCCCATATGGTAATGTCATCGGAACCCGACTCGAGACGGAGAAAGAGAAGGACGACAGGGAGTATGCGGCGTGGAAGGCGGAGCACGGAGCCAAGTAGGAGGCGTCAGGCTATGTTGGACGGACGTGAAAAGCACCTAGGTAGCTTAAGAGACGGGTAGGAGGAGCATGACGAAGTCGGAACTTGTTGCGCATATGGAGATGTTGAGAAACTGTAGCTTGAAAAATTAAACACGAAATTGATCTTAGATTAGCGTGTTCGCATTTGCCCTTTAAACTGTCAGGCAGCTGTGCAGGCTCAGGCGGCTGTGACACAACACGCCATGGCGCTGTCGAGCGATCAGCACCTGCAAGGGTTGGCATCGCGAGAACTTCGAACAATACAGGGCCCATATGATAGATACATATGGCATCAAAGTGGTGCCCAAACGTGCTGATAGCTATGATCATGGACGACCGTGGTGAAGTGTAAGCGGGCCTTCCAAGGCTGGGACGCTTAGTAATAATGACATCATCGGCTTTTATTCCTCCCGCGTTCTCCTCTAGGGCTGTTGTGCCTAGGTGGAGAAGCTGCAAGTTCCTACAACCACAATGATCCTACCTTGCTCTTTACATCAACATCTGTGAACGTTTCGACCTGGTGTTGCTTCACCATATCTAGTTTGAAGATTGAGCGCAGCTCACGGAGCCTGGCGCGTCACAACCTGGAATGCCCGCGATGTTTGCGGCAAACACGTATGAGGATGATCGTATCCTCACAGGCCGACGCTTGACATGCATAATCATCGACACAACGTGGGTATTGGAAGCCGCCATGGGGATTCCATGATTAGGCATCACACCAAAAGCACGCCCGCAGTACAAAACCGTCCTTTTCTATGCGCATGCCCTCACACTCGTACTTCCTGTATTACTATCTATCATCTTCCTACTCGCATCATTTTGATATCCCGATTTATCTTTTCCATCTTGCGACATGATCACTTTCCACATTACAGGCCGATTTCGCCGTAAAGTGCTGGATCGTCCGCACCCGATGTCAATTTTTAGGTTGGCAACTTACCCTGACGATGAACTGATCATGGCTTTTCATATCATACTAGAAGAGATAGAAATTGCACGAAGCAAAAGCATCCTCGGCATCTCGTTCTTGGCTAACGATCTGATGGAAACCGCTCAGAACATTGTGGAGTTGGTGTTCACAAGTCATGGCGGATGGGCTTTCCTCCAGCTTGGACAACACCAGCAGTCCTTCCTCCAGCAGATGCAGCAGAATTACTCTTTCAACTTGCCTCAACCAAACTTCTTCATCAATCAGCAGATACCACCACCAGCGATGATTGGCCAGGGTCCCACCCAGAATGTTGTAGTGCACTCGCATGGAGCCCCAGCGCCCGCTCAAATCCAAGGGTCCTCCGAACAAGACAAAAACGAGCTCTATCTCGACCGACTCAACAAAGACAACAACCGCAACGAGAAGATGAAGAACAGATACGAGGATGAACTAGCAGTGAAGGAGCGAGCCAGGTTGGAAGCTGAAGCGAAGAAGACGATTGAGGCAGCGGAGGAGAAGGCTCGTAAGTTCAAGGAGGCCGAGGAAAGATTCGAAAGGAACAAGATTGAAAACAATCTGAAAGAGGACACGATACTGCGCATTGACGAAGCGAAGAGCAGACAAGACGAGCTGGACCGTAAGACGCGTGAGATAACGGAGAGGACAGAGCAGGAAAAGGTTGATGCTGCACGAAGGTTTGAGCAAACACGTCAGGAATTAGCCGCGAAAAGGGAGCAGAAGAGACGAGAGGAGGAGAGGCGAGATCAGGAGAGGCGAGATCAGGACAGGCGAGAGGAGGAGAGGCGAGATCAGGAGAGGCGGGATCAGGAGAGGCGGGATCAGGAGAGGCGGGATCAGGAGAGGCGGGATCAGGAGAGGCGTGATCAGGAGAGACAGCGACAGCTCGATGCCTCCAGAAACCGAACAAATGACTTGAATAGTCAATCATACAACCAGCAGCGCATGCTACCGGAACGCGAAAGACCACGGCGGTCCTCCCCGATCCCACAAAATCAGCTCGTTTCTGACGACGATGATGACGACTCCGACAGCGACGAAGAGAAGCGAAAAGATCCGTACGAACTTATCGGTCTGCCCGACAGAGGGCGCACCCCAGTAAAAGACATCGAAACTACCCAACGAGTGCTGAACAAGATTCATCAGAAGACTCTTGATAGTGCGATGTCAGAATCCAAGAGACAACATGCTGAGAAACGTATGGTCGAGATCAAGTGGGCAGCGGCCATTCTCTTGGATGACATGAACAAGAGGGCTTATGATGAGGCTGGTGCTATATTTCCTCATGAGCAGCAGGCTTGGAGGAGGAAGAGTAAGTGGACCTTCCCGAATGAATGAAACAAAGACTAATCAACACAAATGTAGATGGCATTAGTGGTGCTGCCGGTAGGAAGTAAATCTCTGGGTAGGGTTCTACAAGTTTCCCGCCTTGTCTGATATAGCTATAGTCATGTTCCGTTAGTCAATGAAGCATTCCATCTGTGATATCACTTTATAAATACGAAAGCGTATCATCAGTAGTGACAAAAGGCTTGTTTGACCATTTAGACGAAGATGGTTGTTATCGCCAACACCACAACAAATATGATCGTTCTTACGCGAATGACCATGACAGCCAATGAGGCCAGGCTATTCCTATCAGGCGGTAACCGGTGTAAAGATGTTGATAGTGTTCGCGTTGACAGCACTATGGTTTGTGGCCAGCGAAATGGAAGGACTCTTCATCATTCCAAGCTCAGAATCAAGATAGACGATCTATGGTTCAGGAAATATAACTTCCCCTTGCTGCACAGCAGTTCTATCCCCTTTTCCCTTACTCTCGCCTAATTTTCACACATCATAATGTACCATATCGACATGAACAGCCCGCCAACAGCAAGTATGCGGGCAGACCCCGAAAGCCCTGCATTACCTTCCGCGGCACTGGGCGCAAATGTCGGGGCTCCACGGAATGAGTTTCAAGCAGAGCCACTGCAAGATTTTGATCACGAGAGGGTCATCATTGCGTCTTGGGGTCGATACCAAACCCTGGATCAAATGCGCGCCTCGCCTTTCTACGCCTGCATCCGACTACCCATATACTCAGACACCATGTTCGCACCTCCTCTGTTCCCAGAGCCTTCACCAAACTGTGAATCTGCTACGGTAAGGCAAAACGTAGCCAGCTTTGAGAGTCGCGATGTGCATGCTGATCAAGAACAGCCGGAACAGTATGTGACCCTCCACGCTGTCCATCCGGTACCAACGCGATACCTACGAAGCCTCGCGCAAGATCAGTTGGAGTTCTTGTTCGGCTACTGGACTGAGAAGAGGATTCAGCCTGATGGTGAGCTTGCTAGACGAATGTGTGGGACGGTGGAGGCTATTGGACAGATCATGCATGAGGGGGAGGATGAATTCATGTGATTGTATGGATTACGTTGCGCAGGTTTAAGTGTCCTGAATAATTCGGTTTTTTATCGGCGTTGTCATGTACCGTGGATCATTAATTGAAGATTCCCTTGGATGATTTGCTGTGTGTTTCGATCGCCCCATTGCGTGTGTTCTCGTTTGCTCGATGCCGTTCGTGAGACGACCAATTTGTGGGGACCGAATTGGAAGGCCATGCTCTTGACATACGTCTTGCCAATTAAGAAGATTCTTTTTGGAGAAGTTGTTGACATCTATTGACGCTGCTCCCTTCGTATAGCACCTGCGTGCCGAGTAGCGTTAGCAAGGAGCGTGACGTGTATTGATTTGGGTTGGTAGAGTGATCATTGCCAAGCTCTTGTTGTCAAAGCGGGCAAACATGGCGGCCCAGAGTCCGTCGAGGTAGCGTTCGTTGACTTGATGTAGACCAGGAATGAATCATGCAAAGCCAGCAAAGCTGTGGCGGCCAACGAACTCTCGTGAACACTTGCTTCGTATCGTCAGTTACTGCCAACAGCAAAGCGGCAGCGGAATGCACATAAGGTCAGTAGGAAGGCAACATCTTGCTCAACACAACCAGCATACTCAACAACTCTTTGCACCAAGACTCATTACCATACTGCGAAGCGCATCAAAACACTAATATCAATAACGAGTCCACACACCATTACTACAACATCTTACAATATGAGCAACCCAAGCATTACACCCATGCCGACTCCCGGCCCCGAGACTCTCGCGCAGCCCTCGACTGCACGCCCCCTAGTCGAACTTCCTTCCCGCCCTTCCGCGCGTGGTGCATCAAGTGGAGTTGCTTCGGGCACCGCGCCTGGCATGATCGCGCCCACTCGCCCCATGCAACTGCGGCAGTTTACCCCCAAAGACTTTGAGGAGGTCGTCACCTTGTGGAGCGGCTATACTACCCGTGATCTCATCGTCGAGTCTCCCTTCTACACCAAGACAACCATCGTAGTCGATCCTCGCGCGAAGGCTCAGTTCCCCGAGAAGAGGGAGATCACCGAGCGTGTTGTGCACGCCGTACACCCGATTCCTCGTAAGCAGCTTCAGAATCTGGGACCAGTCTGCCTGCACAACCTAGGCGCGGGATTGGAGGAGGAGCGATGGGATGTCAACAGGTCTCCCGAGTTTAACGATCGCGTGCAGGAAACCCTGGCTCGCATTGACGACGCGTTGGAGTTCATTTTCCGTGTTCATTTGCCGGGTACTCGGATTTTCAGCGGAAGACAGCCTTCTGTGTCGTAAGCTTGAGTAATGATCAGGATGGAAGTTGATGGGGGCAATGAAGCGAACGCGATTGATGCTTCTGCACAACAGCTCATTTGGCGGTATCATGTACTCGATAGCAAGTAGCTCTATTGCACCAAGCTACAATCAATGAAATATGGCTCAATGGACCTCTCAAGGCCTAAGTTTCGTGAGGATATGGCCCAGACTGCTGTGATTAATCGTGGTAAATGTCCATCCAGTGCATGCCGCACGCGCCGTTCAACGCCAGCGCTGGAAAATCGAAAGTACTGGGTACTATTGCGAGATCTACTTCTTCAGTAGACGGATCGGGATTTGCGGAGAGGAGTACCAGTAGATGTGTCGTGTCTGACGTGATGGTACAGATAAACCGAGCAGTCGCGTCCACGCGTCACAGCCGCGATCCTTCTGAGCCTCGGTCCGCTGCTAGCGTATGCCATCACAGGGGGCCACTACCTCAATCTTGTGCGCGAGTTGATGCGAAAACTATGAATGTGTATAGATAGGTATCGGTATCTAGACCATCCCACCGTAAACCCGAGACGCCTTATCCTTATTGCCTGTACCAAAACACCCATCGCTGATGCATAGCCCCAAAACCCAGCACCCATCCCATAGGTACCATTCCACCCATATACGCCATTCACAAATTGCCGATAACAACCATGAATCTCAATTTGCCATCCGTCTTCTTGCTTGCAGCTGGGTTGGCACCAGCCAGGGTATCATCTCCGCCATTATTGATCGTGATTTCATCCAGCATCAAAGTGCTGCTCTTCCATCCCCAGCTCTGACTGAAGTTAAAGCGGTCAGGCGCGCTTTCGTAGATGCTGAGCATCCTTCCACCCTTGGAGGGGCTGTAGATCTTGAAATAGGTTTTGATTGTGGGTCGGCCGTCGACATAGGGAGGGAGTGCGGGTATGACGGCTCGCGTTTTGCGTTGGACTCTAGAGGCGAGAGAGGGGTTGATGTAGGCGGCGGCGTCTGACTCGTCGTCGTCATCGGATGGATCTGAGTCATGTTCGGATGGGGAGTAGGGAGCGTTAGCGAAAGAGGGAGAGTCTATGGTATCACCATCTTGAGGTGGTGAAGAGGCCAGGTTTTGGAAGCCCCATTGTGGAATACCGCGAGTGGGTAGACGACTGCGATGGCGGCCAAGACTACCACTAGAAAAGAGTGGGTTGCGCAGTCCTAGAGAGCCGAGAGCAGGGTCGGGATCTCCACCACTGCCAGAGGTATCCTCTTCTGCAGCAGGATCCATGAACGGAACTCGGGTGCTGCGTCGCCGGTCGCGTCGGTCACTACGCATGAGCATCTCGCGCTCTAGCTGGCCGATACGTTCATCAACCGAGCCGTTGTTCTGTTGGCTGAGACCACTGACATGTCCAGTCTCATCTACCTCTCGCTCCTTGGCACGGTGGAGGTAAACGCCCAACTGGATATTTTTGGCAGAGCGAACTTTCTGGATGTAGATGTTCCACAAAGAGCCTGCGTACGATACCGTCCTCGAATAGACGCGCTTCTTCTCTTTGAGGAATCGTGGATTAGGAAACTCAGCCGAGAAGCGGAATGGAGGAAACTCGGTATAAGCGATTGGTTTTGGCTGACCAGCGTTGCCGCCACCAGCAGAGATTGGGCGTTGGGCGAAGTCCATGCGAGTATTTGGGTTCGTCAATGTCGACGGAGTAGAGGCAAAGTCGGTGGCCCATTGCGCATCCTCTGGCTGTATCGTGGCTGATAGGCGTGAAGCATGGCGCTGAAAAGAGTTGGATGTCGTAACAACAGGATCTGCGCCGTTGCCCAAGACAATGTTGCAGTCCGAGCTTGGGATCCAAAACTTCCGTGGCTTGCCATTGCCGTCCCAACTATCCGACTCGATGTCGCCTTCGTCGATAGGATCTGCCATCTCTTTTTGCTTTCCTTTGTTAGTGAGCTCGCTCCCAGTCTTCGTCGCCACGTTCGCTTCTTCGGGGTCTGGAGTTGATTGACATAGACCCAGCTCCTGAGCAGACTCATCGGTGTTGAGCACCCTCTGGCGAAGGGCCAGTTGCTGCCATAGCGCATTGGAGATGACCCTTTCGGGCATCACTGGTAGGCCAAACACGTCGCGAGCGTTCCTGATAAATTCAAGCTGCTCGTATTCCATGTGAATGTAGTGGATACCTTCGTCTAGCAACACGAGTATGCGCTCAATGTCGGGCAGCGTGTAGAGAGCAAGCCAGTCAGCCTGCGCGTCGGACGAGGAATGCGCCGTTGTCAAGGCGTTCTGTCGATAAACACCGTCGAAGCGAACTGCCATGAGACGAAGAGAGTTGGGTGCTTGTGGGATGGGCCTCTGTCCCCGCTGGATAAGGCCAGCCTCGATGGCTGCTTGACGTAGCCGGCGGTCGAGAAGACGCTTGGAAAGTACCCAGCGGTCCCACTCGCTATCCACAAAGAACCCGTCAGACCCTACAAGCTCACGGACTATGTCGCCGGGCATATCGTCCCAGTATTTAAGAGGCATTTCCCAACCGTTCCTACTTAGCATCGCCTTGGCCGACTCAAGTATGCGGTCTCCAGATCGGCCATAGTAGTTGGAGGTGACTAAGCGGATGAGGTAGGCAAGCGTCTCCGGTGCCATCTGCCGCAGTATGGATTCGATCGCAGAGTCGATGAGGTCCTGCATCTCTAGCCAGCAGCCAGTCGCGAAGAGACCAATGGCTTCAGCGTCCAATTCTTTCGAGATGTCGACGCCATAAAGTTTACGTATAGCCAACTCGAATGATGCTTGCGTAATGCTGGAATCGATCTCTTCCGGGTGTAGTTTGACTTCCTTGGACCGGCTTTCGAGCCAAGGCTCAGAGAGGGCGGTCGTGAAGAAGGGTGCGCGGTCGAGGATGAGACGGTGCAGAGGATATCGCTGGCCAAAGGCGATGATAGTAATGTCCGAGTGTCGGCCTTCGAGCAGCCCGCGGGTGTAAAGGTGGTCAGGCAGAGGTATGGCTTCGCCTGAAACTGACAATGTTAGCCTGTACACACGAGAATCTCATAGTAAGACTCACCTCGCAAATACAATGGTCCCGTCGCGTTGTTGTAGGAAGGTGCCCTAGTTCCAGGCATGGCTGCGCTCTCGCTGAACAACCTACTAATGTCGGTGCGAACAGAGTGCTCTGTACGCATCAGGTCCAACGTCGTGCGCCTTTTGCCTTGTTCTTCCAACGGGGTGTTTGGATCATCGGCGCTCTTTTGGGCTTGGTCTATCCGGGTTTGCAGCTGAACTATGGGCGGTCGTTCCTCTTGACCGTGAGCTCTGGACGCACGCGATGTCATGCTGGAGTAGTTGGCCAGTGACGGCATCGAGCGCGAGTAGCTGAGAGACCTCGAGTGGCTCACGTGTGCCCTGGGACTGTCGGGGACGTCGGACGGCGCAGATGGTGGTATGGCGGGTACGTTGGGCGAGAAGAGGCTGACGTATGGGGTACTACTCGAGCCTGCGCCGCCCTCTGTACGCTCTCCCTCGCCCAACGGCCATATTTCGTTGCGCTCTAATCCACCAATCTGCGGCTCGTTCTCATGATCGAGGTTGTTGCTCCCGTGACCTGTGGGTGGTTGATGGGCGGGATCCATGCTATGCTATAAGCTGCTTTGGAAGTACATGGGGCGTGGTGGTCGACGACGGCTGGGTATGCGACCGGGACGGGTGGGGTAACGCAGTGCACGCCGGGTCTAATAACACGGGATGGTCACGTACGCAATGGAGAGACGGTGAAAGTCATATAGGAGAAGGGAAGATAGCGGTCGCAAAATACGGTGGAGGCTGGGCGCATCACGCTGCCAGCACGGCAGACGCCAAATGGCGATCTTCACTAGGAGGGGTCCGGTGATGCAGTTGCGAACCTGCGGAGTGGGTCGTCGCTTCCGCCTGTCAACGGGCGTGGATATGCAGGGTTCATTCTTGGCGCGCCGCCGCGCCGTCGAACCACCGACGATGACATGTACATTTGCTGCTCTTGAAACTTCCTCCTTCCTCCCCAGATGTCGCTGTAATGGCTTCAATATTCCAGGCATTTCCGCAGCTGCGGACTGCTGCTCCACGCCTCTCACGACGCCTCTTCGTATGCAGGCCATGCCTCAATTCGCCGATTCGAGCCGCCGTCTCCGCTTCACGATCTTCATCCCGACCCTCCGTCCTGCAATCGGTGAGGTGGAAATCCACCCAGCCTCTCCGCAGTACCGCGACCATCGAGGGATCGAATGCGGGACGGGCGATACTCGCAGAAGCTGCGACCAAGACTGAGAGCCAGTCGAGCAGCTTCCCCAAGACAACCTCCAAGAGCGTCGCATACTGGCTGCTGGGCAGTGCTGCGAGCGTTTTCGGCATAGTCGTGTTTGGTGGTCTGACTCGTCTCACAGAGTCTGGGTAGGCACCGACGTCACCTCCTCCACCGCACCTGCTAAGTTCAACAGGCTGAGCATCACCGAATGGCGCCCTGTCACCGGCTCCCTCTGGCCTATGAGCCAGGCCGAATGGGACAGCGAGTTCACCAAATACAAGGCATCACCTGAATTCGCCCAACTCAACTCGAGTATGGACATGGCCGACTTCAAGCAAATCTACTTTATGGAATGGGCGCATCGGCTCTGGGGTCGCGTCATTGGCATCACGATGCTCGTACCAACCGCATACTTCATCGCACGTCGCAGGGTAGCACCTTCAATGGCCTGGAAGCTCATCGGCATCTGCGGCATGATCGGCTTCCAGGGTGTTATCGGCTGGTGGATGGTCAAGAGTGGGCTCAAGGACGACCTCTTTGAACCTGGTAGCCACCCCCGTGTCAGCCAGTACCGCTTGACTGCCCATCTCGGCGCTGCATTCACCGTCTACTGCTCAATGGTATACACTGGTCTTTCTATCCTCAAGGAGAACCGCATGCTGGCCGACCCAGTCAAGGCAGCAGAGACTATCAAGACTCTGCAGCACCCTGCACTCCGCATCTTCAGACGCTCTGTCTTCGGTCTTACTCTTCTCGTCTTCACTACTGCCATGTCAGGTGCCCTTGTCGCTGGTCTCGATGCCGGTCTTATCTATAACGAGTTCCCGTGGATGGGTATGGGTCTCACCCCACCCAGGAAAGAACTATTCGACCCCTTCTACAGCCACGTCCCAGACCAATCAGACCTGTGGTGGCGCAACATGCTCGAGAACCCGTCTCTCGTTCAGCTTGACCACCGCATGCTCGCAACAACTACCTTCACTGCCATCATGAGTCTCTTCGCATACACTCGCTTCGGCAAGGGTGTGCGGACTAAGCTTACCAAGGATGCCCACAAGGGCGTCCAAGGCATGGTCCATCTCGTCACTCTCCAGGTCACCCTCGGCATCAGCACGCTGATCTACATGGTCCCTACGTGGTTGGCTTCCGCACATCAAGCTGGAGCTCTTGCTTTGTTGACTGGAGCGGTCGTTCTCTGCAGCAGAATTACCATGCCACGTCGCGCTATCCTTCGCCAGATCATGAAGCCGCAGAGCGCGGGATCCCACACTGCTCCTCACATGAGGTCACGACTCGAGGCCGCCAAGGTTGCCGAGAAGTCATTGTAGTATACATCACCACCTTGTACGATATGTAGGTTCGCACATCATATAGACTATATCACCTTTCCTTGGTTCTACGTTCACTTTCTCATTCGCTTGTCTTTTGTCTCTTGACCGCAATGCATGCGGATGCTTGATATAGACATCAATCCATCGCATTGATCAAAGGTGAGTATGATGACTGATACCAAGTACTCGATGGTGTAGGAGCGCAGTCACATCGTCCCAGCTGGAATGCTAGTGAGGATTAGTGTACCGTGTGCTCTGCCTTCTCCGTCGTATGTCCGGCCTTATTACCGCTGGACACACTACCCGTCTCAACCATAGTCGCAGGATCGGTGCCAACCGCTTGTTCCCATCCCTCCTTCGCCACACGTCGGCTTCGCTTCACGACATCACCTTCGTAGAACAGCCAATCGACTTCTTCCAGCGTCAAATTGGCTGTCTCAGGATAGCAGAAATACTGCAAGCACGTTAGCGAATGGAGGCTCTGGTCTCGTTTCAAATACATACGATTAGCGGTATGAACGCAAAGTTCAGTGCCATGAAGATAAGGTAGCCCTTCCACGCCAAGCTGTCGAGAAGCGTAGGCGTGACCATAACGACGAAGAAGTTCCAGATCCAGTTCGCAGAGATACCGACAGCTGTGCCTTTCGCTCGTACATGTAGCGGTAGGATCTCGGGTACATAGACCCAAGGAATGCAGTTCATTGTCATACCGAACGCCAGCATGTACTAAGATTTGTTAGCTTCTCATTCCTAATGCGACGCGTCTCTGCTTACCGTGAAAAAGAAAGCGACACTGGCGGACGCAGTGGCTTGCGACACGTCGCCTCCTTCAGACCGGAAGCTCAAGAGGATGGCTATCATCATCATGGAGAATCCGAGCCCGAGAGACCCCCACATCATGGGTTTCCGCCGGCCGGTGCGGTCCAGTGTGAAAGTTGGGAACAGAGAGCCGATGGGGAACATTAGGTTGATGACGCCTCCCATGAGCAGGGCGAGGTTTCTGTCGAGGCCGACGTTATCTTCTAGGACGGAGGTGATGTAGTAGACAACCTATAGCGGAAGTCAGCGCACCGATCTCGTGCAGTTTGTTTATGTATACTTACCAAATTTATACCGCCCATCTGGTTCATGAATTGCGCGCCGTAGGCAAGTAACACACGACGTCCAGTCTGCACACGATCTTTCTTGAGTAGTTGCGACCACTTATACTCTCCATGCTCTCGCTCAACTTGTAGAGCCTCAAGCACCTCTCTGTTCTCCTTCTCAATCTTTGGATCATCAGGCGTACCGTCGTATACGTCACAAAGAATCTGAAGCGCCTCTTCATGTCGGCCATGCGCATACAGATATCTGGGTGACTCAGGAAGGCCGAAAACCAGCACGATGACAATAATCGCAAAGATGACCTGGCAAGCAATCGGTAAGCGCCATGCGATCGATCCTTCCGTAAACGACATCCCGTAGTCGAACCAGTACGCCAGTTCGATTCCCACGCCGACAAAGAGCGGTTCCGACGCGACGAGCCGACCGCGCTTGTTCGCCTCGCAGAGTTCAGATTGGTACATAGGCACAGTCGATGTCTCGATCCCAGTGCCAATTCCCGTCAGAAACCTTGCGACCATCATATGCGGCACCGAGTACGCACTCGCTTGGAGCGCGCCGCCGACCTGTAATCATCAGCCCTACTCCCCCGACCACCATCGTTATACTTACAATGATCCATACCATAGCAATCCACATAGCCAGCCTCCGTCCCGTCTTCTCGCAGAACATAAAGCTGAGAATGCATCCGGTGAAGCAACCGAGATTGTATATCGACACGATGATACCTTCGAGACCGGGTGAAGGGTGGTCGAAAGTGTTTAGGAAGTTCTCGTTGCCGACGATGCCGCTGAAAACGCCTTGGTCGTAGCCGAAGAGGACGAAGGCCAGTTGGCAGGCGATGGTTATAGCGGCGCGGAGTTTGAAGCCGCGACCGTACCAGTTGAAATGGGGTGTGTGAAACATCGTGGGCGGGGTCTTATTATCTCACCCTGCGAAAGAATGCGATGTGCACGATGGAAGCGATAAGACACGCAAAGGAGGACTGCAGTACCGTGTGGGTTTACCCCATGTTTCTATACCTACATCTTCATACCTCACCGCTCGCTACCCGGATCATATCACCCGAACACACGCAGCATGCTAGATCTGACCCCGACGTCACAGAAGATGGTCAATCGGCAAAATCGCCGTTGTCACAAGCTGCCTGCGCACATAACCGACGGAGTAATTGCGGGGCAAGGATTATTCAAAAGGCTCTGGCGAATGATCAAGATGCAATGGTGCCGTTGAAAGCCTTGCCGAGCTATTGGTGGCGTCGCTTGGTCGCGTAGAAATGCGTGTCTGGGGTAGGATGGGGTGATCTGCGGGTGCGGAGGTGGAGAAGGGGGGATGACGTCGCGAGGAAGGCACGTTTTGGGGAAGCCGGTGATGATGCAGCGCGGCTGGCATAAGCATGAAGATTGGCGTACAGCAAGAGCTTATTCGATCAAGCGCGAGATTTCTATACATTTGTCGCGATCAATACTGTAGAGCCTATAGTTGTGAATGCTGAAGTGCTGCGAAATCCAGGTGGCTGGTGTGCTTATCTCCGCGCCATCTCCGGAGCGATCTTGCCAAATCTCAGCTGTCACTCCATCCTCTCTTCCATCTCCATTCATCAATCTACTATCGCCGGTTACAATGTTTCCTGCGAGAACGACGATATGTCTATTGACATTTACTAACACGACTGGAGCATACGAACGGCATCCCTACATGGTTAACACCAACTTAGACTGCGGATCGTAACAATGGGTTCACCTGTGTGGCGAACGCTGTTGAGATATGTCGTTAGACACGGGCCAAACGTGATGTTCGCCAACTCGGTCTTTACCATTCTATGCTACCTGGTCAAACAACCTCAACAAGCGCATGTAGATTTATATCGATACAAGGAAATTGCTCGATGGACAAACAATGGTGGAACTTCATAAAGTGAAACCTCCTCTTCCGCATTTCACGCTTCTGCCTACGGAGGAGAAAGGTCCTCTGGTGCCTTCCTCTAACTTTGCACCCGCATTTTATCAACCGGCTTCCAACTAGATACACAGCCTAGTTTCAGATCAGAAGTACACCAACGATGGCGCCTCCAATAGGTACAACGACTAAGCTGCCCACTTCTAACCAAGGCCATCTCCAGTCCTTGATGGCCAAGGTCCGTAAAGAACTTCGACAACCAACCCAGATAGAGATCTCATATGCAAACAATCTTACCCAGGCTATCGAGAAGGAAGCTTGGAAAGAGTCTCGGGAAGTTCGCGACAGCATTTTGGGCCTCGCTCAAGAAGCTCGGAGGATGTTTGGCCTTCGACCGTTCGACATGTCATTAAACGTGGAGAATGAAGCCGATGGTAAGGAAATGGTTCTGCGAAACGGCGGGAAGCGATCAGCTTCCACGGCACCAACACCTAATGCATCAAAACGGCAACAGCGCGAGCCTATTCGACCACCACCACCATCTTCCGGGAAGATAGATCAGAAATCTGAGGCTTTAGATCAGTCCGGTCGTGTCCGTCACATTAAAGAGGAAAACACCGTCACTAACTCCCAGAATGGTCCACACGGTCATGGCCATTCTCAGTCGATCGAGGCTCCATTCGCCACTAGTTTCCTCACCAACAGTGCGCCAATCTACAACCAAAACATAAACAGCGGGTCTGGGCAGCAGAACATCAATGTGTATGGCGTATTCGAACCTCCGCCACCATCAGCTACCGGCGCCGCGCCAACCGAGTACGAGATGCCTACTGAGCCAGAGCATCGCCTAAACCAAAACGCTGGACAGCAAAAGTTCTCGGTCAGTGATACTGTTACCAACAAGACGGCCGGCGACGGTAAGTCAAGTGGTCACGGTCAGACGTTGAAGGGGCCACATGGCAACACGCACATGCGCATGACTGCGCCAGTCTACAACCAAAATATCAACACCGGAAGTGGACAGCAGAACATCGACGTCATTGGAAAGATGGACTTTGAGAAAAAGGAGCGGAAAGACCGATCGCGTCAAGATCATGTAGTTGCAGTTGGGCAACCTGCAAACCCGCAGCCACAGTGGCGCGAAGATCAGGGACCAGGTAATCCACACTACGGTCGCGGTCCATCTTACCGGCCGACTTCGCCTCAAGGCCTTGCAGTTGCGACCGGGCAGAACGCAATTCCACTACCACAGCGACGCGACAACGAAGCACCTCATAGTCCATTTTATCAACCAAGTTCGCCTCACTATCGACCAACTTCACCTCAGTATGGATCAACTTCGCCTGAGTATCGACCAACCTCGCCGCAGTACTCGTATGGACCGAACTCGCTTCACCGTCGATCTCGTTCACCTCGCCGCCGCGTCGCCCCACATAGTGACAGTGGCGCTATGGATGAGTACCGGGATCGTTCGTACGGGAGGCGTGATGGTCTTCCATATGAGGATGCTCCGTATGATTCAGAAGATGATTGGTCGAGACCAGGTGGTGTGGATCGTTCTGGTCCAAGAACTCCGCGTCGCGAACGCTGAGGAGTGTGTTGGGTCGCGGAGCAAGTATAAAGTTGTGGAGCTGGATTATATAGTTTTATGTCTTCTTGATGTTCACGGCTGATACTCAAACATCACTACATCTTCACTACATCTTCGCTAATCTTTTAAAACACTAGAATGAATCACGATAAAGATTGAGCGCATGCAGTCATTCGTCAAACCACTCTATTTTGAAATGAATGTAGTGATGAGGGTTCAACATTGTCCTGTAGCTCCCAGCCTGGCTCCGCTCTCACACTCCTTTCCGCACGCACAAATCCCTAATCCCTTCGCTGATTTCCTTCCTGATACCTTCTTTGGTCTGCCGCTTCATTCGCTCCTTGGTTCGCTCCTTCATTTCCTCCTTGATTCACTCTCTCAATTTGTGCGTTATTTGCTGCAAGTTCTCCAGCGAGTCTTGCTAACTCATAGTGCCCTTCCCGTGGATCCAAGCCCTCGTTTTCTTGCCTGATTACTCCATTATTCCCATCATCACCCTCGGCGTGTTCAGGCTCATCGTTTGGTGCTGCGACCGCTGTAGTTGTGTTCCAATTGCTATGTCGATTTGGATCGTCGTGTTCGAAGTCACCATCTGCGATTGTGTTTACCGAGCGTGATGAGTCAAGCCTTGGGACTTCGCTTTGATGGGGAGTGCCAGTCGCGTCGACTCTGCCTTGTGGTACGTTTGAGGAGGAAGGCATAGTGGATGAGTTGATTTGATGAATCGTATTGCTGGTTTTGGAGGGCTTGAATAATGGGGTTTTTGAGTTCGCAGGATGATTTCGGCGCCCCTACTAGGTCTGTATAGGTAGATTAGAGGCTGTTTGTTAGAGAAGAAAGGTAGGTCTGTTGGCATAGCTTTTATAGTGCTTATGACTCCATGGCAGACATCGCGACGGCCATAGTCATCTAAAAGAGTCACTGGGACTCATGACTGAGTGAGGATTGTCTGACAGCAGACATGTCGTCTTCGTGGTTGAGTCGTTGCGCATGCTGGAAGGCCTGCACGTCAGTATCGACTCTTTGTGCGACAAACTCTAGTCTTTTCGGGAATAGGTTTCTTTAAGCATGAAGAACATAATAAGATCTGGACATGATGGCGCAAGATCGCTTTCACTGCGAAGTCACGATCGTTTAGGCGCGCCATTTGGAGGACCATGACTGTCGGTGTCACTGACCGTGCGAATACGTGTGCGCGCTCCCACCGACTGTGCGTAATACGATTTCACGTTGGAATGTCTTTTTATGATGTACTGCATATTAGACGGAGCTGTATTCACGACACTTACAGATACGGAGCAACAAACCTTCTCACTCCGATCTCAAACCCGTCGACATGATGCATTGTACATTGGCCCGACAGCCTTGGGATGCAAAAAGTGTGGACCGAGACAGACCTCGGGAAGTTGTGATGCCGTTAAAGATACAATATAGGTATGAACAACGCGAAAAAAACATGTCACGATGTTTCGCGACGCCATAATTTGACATTAGGCTTTGCCCTAGTTCCCTTCCTGATCTCCTCCTGGATGTCGTCTTGGATCTGCCTCCTGGTTCGCTTCCCGAATTTCTCCCTCATTTCCTTCACCACCCTCGCGGACGACGTGTCTAGGCGAATCATCTGGTCCTGCGACTGGCACCGCTCTTTCTTCATTGCTGGGTTGGTCTTCATCGTCAAATTCGACGCTCTCAGTGCTCGTGGTTTCGATAGTCGACATTGAGTCGCCTTCCTCGCTAGGGTGGTCAGTATGATCAGAGTTATCGGATTTAGGGCGAACAAGTTCGGGAACTTTGTGTTTGGAAGGTACTTGAGAGGGGCCACGTTTGGCGCCCCCTTGGTCATTAGAAGACATTTTAGTATAGCCCTATTGCTGGAACTGATGAGTTGGTCTAGCTTGTGGGCTGAAGCTTTGTATTACGCATCTCACTGTAGCAAACTTCATGATCACGGGAACTCAAGAGGGTGACCAGGGCTCGTGATGATATGATGAGTGTATTGGAGAAAAGATTGCATTTGCGATTTTGGTCGTTCCATGGGAGCAGAGATTGGGAAGCCTATACTGGCTTTAATGATGACTTGGTGTTGGCCTGTATATACTGAAAGGTATCAGAAATTCTGTGTGTTGTGTAGCGAACGCGCTTGGGCTGCTACCTTGCGGCCGTGTGCTCGTCAGCTGAAGAGCAGGGGGACCTCAGGTAAAGCCTTCATGTAGACAAGCATCATGGATTGTCGTGAAACCAGGTGATTGGCTTGGGTTGTATCCCGACTGAACTTTCTCCGCGATTGAATCTGGTCTTATGAGAGATATACAACGACCGCTCACCTAGCACTGGGTGTATGCGGTAGTCTGCCTTCTTGTAGAGGGTGACTGCCTACGCCTCAGGCCGAAGATGAGCAAACGCGGTTAAAACGCGGTTAAAATGGGTCAAAGCCAGAGAGTCGCTCACCGAATGTTACTCCGGTATGCATGAACAGCTTTACAGCTTCTCCCGTCCTTCAGGTAGGAGGCTGGCGAATGGGGGTAATGGTTCCCTGTGTCGCGCATACCGCGGCCATTCTGTTCAACCGCATATGCATCGTGCCAAATCCAGACCCAGCTACCAATCAGTCGGGACAGAAACATGTGAGGGATATCATGGGGGTTGCTCGCTCGCATTAAGCAGCCCACACCCCGCGGAGAACGTAACATAAATGCAAAGCACAACCACCGTGATGGAGAAGTGACTCCATCCGCTCAAGTCTCTGGGCTCAACGGGAACGGTAAGCATGGATCATGACTGGGAAATTAGCAGATCAAAGGACCATAGTGATGTTCTTGGTAGAACACCCGGTCTCGACAGGAGGCCAAGGCCCTATTCCACCCTAACAACGGGCCGATGCTCGGTCGACGATCATCAAGCGCGAAGAATCTTCCATGCCAATACGCCGGCTCCGAGGCCAGGCCTTGGCCCCACGCGGGTGCTATCAGATGGATTAAAACTGGGCGATTGGTACCACGACTAATCAATCTGATAATCGTCGCTTTATCTGATCCACCAACGTACACAACCGAAGATGGGTGCCTTAGGATGTGAGGAATTTGTGGTTCCAGAACTGTATGGCTGCTTGGATGCTAATGCAAGTGCGCAGGGCTCAGGGCCAGCGACTCTGGCGATGCGAAGAAAGTTTTGGAGAGGAAGCTCGTTGTGAAGCTTGGTACGAGCATCTTTATCCTCATGGCGCAACCATGCTAACTTTCATGTGACCAGACATCTTCATCATGGTCAGTACTGTCGCAAAACTCGACTACTCATGATGTCTGACTGTCTTGACTAGGTGTTCTGCTGTGCAGCCTACTTCTTCAACTACCTGGATCGCCAGGCTTTCGCTAATGCCTATGTTGCTGGTCTCCGCGAAGACATCGGCCTCAAAGGCAATGAGTATAGCATCTTGCTGTCGATTTTCACTGCGGGGTCCGTTCAGTGTGCCGGTGTGTCATGGCACTCTAGCTGACAGCTTCGCAGTCTCGTTGTCGGCCAGATACCCCATGGTCTCATTATCCAGAAAGTTCGCCCTAGCATATGGCTTCCGTTCACTCTTATCCTCTGGTCTCTTTTGACCATGTGTTCAGCTGGGTGCAAGACGTATTCACAGCTTTGTGCAGTCCGCTTCTTCCAGGGTTTGATCGAGGCCAGTTTATACAGTGGTAGCGTGTATGTGATGGGTTCATGGTAGTAAGTCGATCGAATTCCTTTTCATGGGAAGATTCTCACGATGCCCGCAGCAAGCCTTCCGAGATAGCCAAACGGGCTGCCATCTTTACTGCTGTCGGGCAGGTCGGGAGTATGTGCGCTGGTCTCATGATGACGGCAATGCACCAGACGATGGAAGGCAAAGGCGGCTTGAAAGGCTGGCAATGGGTGTTCATCATTGGTACGTGAGCGATTTCGAGGGCCATCGCGCGCGCGTTGCTAACACATGTGGTTCAGACGGCCTCATGGGAATTCCAGTTGGTCTCTTCGGATTCGTAAGTTGTGTCGATGCTTGCACCCGAGCCTGAGGACTGATAGTAACCCTAGTTCACATTCCCGGATCTTCCAGAGTCGACCAGAGTCTCCTACATCACTCAGGCGGAAAGACAGCTCGCAATGACTCGTCTACCACCTAAGACAGCAGACACCCACAACATCGAGTTCAAGAGCCTTGCGAAGCGTGTTCTCCTAACGCCTACTATGTGAGTAGATACCTGTCGTGTTAGTCAAAACCAGGAAGTCATACTGACTTCTCCGCAGCTACATCCTCACGACTTTCTCAGTCGTCTGCGCCATGCTCGAAGCCTTCGCCTTCCAGGGCATGTTCCTCCTCTGGCTCAAGCACAACAAGTCTCGCTACTCCCAAACCGCTATCAACACGTACCCTCTCGGAATTCAAGCTGTTGCGATCGTCTCCCAAATTCTTGGCGGAGCCTTCATCGACCACACAGGTCATCGTCTGCCTATGATTATCTTTAGTGGAGCGATGCAGCTCATCACCGCATCGCTTCTGCTCGTGCGAAACCTTCCAGATGCGGGGATCTTCACAGCGCATTACCTCAGTGGCACAAGTTTCATCGTAAATCCAATCATGTACGGCTGGGCCACAACCATCTGTCAGCGAACGGGCGACGATGCGGTGAGGGGTGTGACCGTGTATACAATGGCTATGGGTGGTTTGATCCTGTATACGTGGTGGGGTATTGTTATGTACCCAGCGACGGATGTACCGTACTGGAAGAAAGGAAGCATCACCATGATCGTGGTGGTCTTTGCCTTTATTGGATGGGCGTTCGTGGTCAGATGGGTGAGTATCATTGGTGAATAAGGATTTTGGCGTGTGCTAACGATTCGTGTAGCTTGATAGGAAGACGGCGATGGCTGCTAACCGTGAGCCCGCTGAGTCTGGAGAGCATGAGGTGCCGGAAGTGGTTGATGAGAAGACGAAGTCTGGGTAGTGGGCTTTTTCATGGCCCCTCAGAAAGCACTGCCTTCTCGGTTCGCGCACGTCCATGGTGTCGACACCGCTTCACGAAAGGATACGAGGGCATTAATGGCTGCAGGTCGCATTCGCTGATGCGCGATGTTTTGCGGTAGGGTCGGTTGGTGCTGTGGGAGAAACGCATCACGAAGGGATTCAGGGTCTCGCATGTCATCATTACGTCATCGTCATCTCCGCGTTCCGTGGCGGAAAGAATGAACTCAATGCTCCTAATTCTACACTACTCATCACCCTGTTCGCTTCGTTACTGCTATCTTTAACCATTTTCTTCGACGCATCTACGTATGGAAGTCTCCCGATCGCCGCCGGCATGACCAGTGAATATCTACTCACATCCGTTCACCAACCTTCCTTGCCCAGTCAAGATGCAGCTGTTGTAAAGCAGTATTCGACGTGTCTTGACGCAGATCTCGGCTTCGAAGTACATATCTGTCGATTCTTCGACGTCGGTGACCTGTGGCCATTGGAACATCCTCAGAGCGCAGTGATCTACTCGCCTCATCCGTAGCAACCGTAATGGGCTGAGCCGGTTCTTCTCCAGGTTTTTGGCGATCCTCGTCACCCGGTTTCATATACACATCTTCAAGCCATTCGTCGATCCAGCGCCGCTTACGGGAGGATATCCTCTTTCCAAACCTTCGTGGCTCGATTGCCTCTGTCTGACCCGGAAGGCGCAGCTCTGGTTTGGACGGCCTCCTTCGAACCTCACGATCATGCCGATTTGCATCAGAGAGAGCGCACTCCGCCTGCGCATGGCCTCTGTCAGCTTCCTGCATCTTCGCAGAAATCTTACGGCATTTTTCCAGCCATATTGGACCAAATTCTTCTTCTAACTGATACGACCTTACACTCGCGTTGTCACGTTTCCCTCTCTGGTGAAACATGTAAGTCTGCAATTCCCGATCGTACTGCTCACGGACATCATTAAACTCCCGCTCAACGCGTATTGCCTCTTCCGCCGTTTGGTAGAGCACATCCTGTAATGCCAGCAGGTGGTCGTTGCGAGGATAGTCCTTCCATGCGTTATTCCAGGTACTCTCTGCCTCTTCTTCTTCCAGAGGTCCAAATACCTCACTACCTTTGTCTTCGAATGGCGCGGGTTTCCACTCCCCGGGTATTTCGTCGTTCCAATTGTTCTCAGGCCAATCCATGTTGGGATCGTCTGCCGGTTCTCTTGCATCCACTACTCGGACCCTCGGATTCTGGTCGTTGTCATCGACGCTGGGAAAAACGCCTATTCGTACAAGGAGATCGTCGAGCAAATCCCAAAGCGTTTTCTCTACGGCCATTGTGCTCACATTCACTGCCTGATGTCGAGCGTAGATATCATCCTGCTGTACCTGAAGCTGTTCTTCCTCTGACTCCAGGGCTCGAATACGATAGATCACTTCCGAGTGACGCTTCATCGCCCATTCGAAGGTATCATGATCATACTCACCGTAGTTGCCCGATGTTATCCTATCGACGTCCTTCTGTTCCTCTTCGCACTTTGCCTTGTCTTCGATCATCTTATCATACTTTCGCTGAACTTCATCAAGCTCGCGATTTCGCAATGCATACGACGAATCGGCGTTACGACGGGCCAAGCCCGCCTGTATCATGGCGAAGAATATCTCATACGTCGGCATGATACCTGCGCGACTATTCTCTGGGTTGCCAACCAATAGCAAACCACTCTCAGTGTGGAAATTATTCTTGTGTATGACATCTGGCCACCACCAGACCGGGTCAAATGATATGGGGTCTCCAGGAGGTCTAAGAGCCGGATGTTGTCGTTGAGTGGGAGATGAGTGAGCCACTCCGTGTAAATGATGGCCGTTCTGCGTTTCGGACTGACTATGGGAGAAAGCGTTGGGTATGTTTTCCACTGGCCTCCTCTTTCTCTCAGTGGGGGCTACATACTGAGGATGGACCTGTGGTACCAGACTGAGGAACCTTTCGCCTCCCTGAGCTCGGTAGCCATTACCGGCGGTTCTTTTACTGAACATTGGATGAATCTGAGGACATAACCAAAGCCAGCTCGATGAGTTCTTCGCCTTTTCCGACCACTTTGTTAGTTGGTAATCGAATGCAGCGTCCTCAGTAAGACGAAGGAATTTGGAAGGCCGCCTTTCGGAATGGAAAATGCTCTCCTTGTCGGCATCCCTGACGTAGTCTTTGTAGCCTCTCTTCCCACCAGGTGTCAAAGTTTTCGCCGGAGACCCCGGGCCCACGGAAGTCATGACTGGTCGCGTCAGAATGTTTGATAATCGTCTGTTGAGACACAAGAGCAAGAATTTCGCGGCCCGGCAACAACGTCAATCCCTCTGGAAGAGAAGCTTACCATTTCGACAACTATGACAAATCGGACGACAAAGACGTGCTTGTCATTTGTACGAACCCACCTTTGTCTCTCCCCGTCTTTGTTACTCGACCATCTTACATAAGCGGAGTCGGCACACAACACAGTACATCGGTAGCTGTGAGCGCTGTGAATGATAGGTGCGTGCGCTCCGAGAGACTTTCTCAAGTTGGGCGCAGACCCGAGTGAAATGGTCTGGCGACCGCAATTCACACTGGGAGGAGGCACTCTGCCCCCTCTCCCTATATCAATGGCGACTACTCGGGTTACCAAGGCTTTCATCAACACCTCTCGAGCCGCAACCTTCTCAACCTAACCACATCAGCCAACTGGCCATGTCAGAAGGGAACCGCTCAAGAGATGACGGTCGTGGGGCTGGCGGCAGGCGGCCCCATGGCCGTGATGGACGAGCTGATAGATGGAGACCAGGAAGTCCATATCGCGACGGTAGGGATAGTATAAGGCCTCGCGATCGATCTCCACCAGCCCAGACCCAAGAACAACGGAGATACACCGGAGACCATCGACCTCATCAGTTTACAGGATCGCAGCAAAACCGCTCAAACGCCACTCTGCATGCTGGACGCGACATGACGAACAATTTCAACCATCAGAACCCAAACCACATGCCGCTTGGGGTTCGAAGTGAAAGTCGTCCCGAGTCAACTGCCTTGAGCTCTGGAGTACCCACAGCACCTACTACGGCCCTGGGTTTTGGAGAGGTCCCAAACTATCAAGCCAGGCCTGCAGGTACCATGACAGGGTACGAGAACTCTAACACGGGCGGAAGTGGTCGAGAGCCCTCTCAGAGGGCCAAGACAGTTTCATCTCACAATAGCAATACCGGTCGCTATTCAGCCCCAGACGGACATGGACGTATAGACCAACACACTTCAGCGAGTCGGCAAGCTGTGTTACCAAACTTCACACCCCTCACATTCGGAGACATTGTCAACTTCTGGATGATCAAGCATTGTCTTATCGACGCCGATCTACGAATGGGGACCAAAGACGGAGAATATGGCTTCGCAGACAAATGCGTACTCCGATTCTATCCAAGCAAACGCATCCGGGACGAGTACGGCCAGGGTTGGCCGCATGGCTTTTACATGGAGGCTCGAGACGGCCTCGTGACTGCTGTGTCGTATGATGACGATTGGCCAACAATCGAAATCCTACCCATCTGGACTTATAGTAAAACAGGAGCATGGAAAAACGCAGAAGAAACCATACCCAAGTCCCCGGAATTCTGCGCTTCGCACCTGTCGATAATGAAACGACCGCGAGTCAATGCTCGGATACAATACGAGGCAGGAATTCGAGAAGAATTGGCGCGGAATCCAAACTCCACCAAGAAGATTTCCCGCGGCATGGACTGTCCAACTCCTAACGGCCATCCGTATGCGCCAATGGACTGCGTCGCGGTGGTCGAACGACTCCATCCGTACGATCCGAAGCGCAATTCTTTGATCAGGTTCTCCATGAGTATCACCGTATACCAAGATGCACGGGTGCAACGGCATTCTTCACTGGAGCCCGAGAGCAGACTTCGCACACGAGATATCTACCGCAAGTTCTTAAACATCAGGATGCTTGATCCTGAAGAACGGCGTACAGCTGACTATGGCCCGTATACTTGGCTCAAAGCACTGGACCCCAGCTACACTGGGCCCTTGACGACCCCAGAGATCGGCACCATCAACGCTGCACCTCCACAGGGGCCGACAGTACCTCAGCAAAACGGGGCATTGCCGCCTTCTACCAGTCCAGCTACGGTGGCTACACCTCATCAAATGTCAATGGTACCCCATCAGAATGCAGCCCCACCACGTCCTACTGGTACTTTGAGTTCTACTCCTCAGCAGGTGTCGACAATGCCTACTCAGAATGGGATCTTGCCATACCCTAACGATATTATCAACGCTGCACCTCCACAGGTGCCGGCAATACCTCAGCAAAGTGGAACTATGCCACCTCCACCGTCGGCGAAGCGCAAGGCTGACGATACAGAGGCAGGGTCGTCTGTAAATGCCGAACAGCAGGCCGCAGTGGGAAATGATATCGCAAAGGCAGAAGACGACAATTTCGGTGCACAAGCTGCTGACTCAGCCGCACCACTGGAGCCAGCACAAAAGCGACAGAAGACCACAATCGGCGCCGAGGACAAAGCCGATGTTGATGTCGGGCCTAAGCCTGACGACGCAAACCGCAAATAAGAGCTTGAGAACCTAGGAGATGATCTCCCATTGAACTGCAGATATTGCGGTTATGAGAACATGATACGGCTACGCTAGTTGGCATTGCCTTACCAGAAGAGCGACGTCGAGCGAGCAAGCATTGCAGCAGATGTCTTGACAGTGTATAATATCCTTTCCCATTCACATTACTACCCCATACTCGGATCGTTGCTTATTGGCTGTCTTGCCACTTCCTGCTCTTTCTTGTCTTGTTCATACTTTTACGTTCCTGGTGTTCTTATCCATGA